AAGGACATCACTTCCCTTTATCTCCTAGGTAAATTACTCACACTAACACAACTGCACAGGTACAGCCAGCAATACCTTCCTGGACAACATGTGGTTGTTGGGAATCTGAAATGTACGAAAAAATAGTTTTTACCCGTACCGCATCCCAACATTGGGACGCAATGTCGCCAACAGGAAGGAGTGGGGCGAGTTGTTCCTCACTGACTAGGAAGTTTTTGCTTCGTGAGATCAACCAGAGTTTTTTCTTCAATTTTTGACATTCCTTTGAAGCAGCAGAACAGAGCGAGTCGGTTAGTTATACGACGAGGAGGATCAAAAAAGAGCACTATCCATCGTTCACGACCCTACTCCACAGTCCGAAGTTCAGGTCAAAATCTCAATTTGGCCAAAAGTCTGTCTCCGGGGACAGTTGGACCGCATGAGTGCGATTATCGCTTTCGCGTTGGCGCTGAAACAACATGAAGCACCTAATCCGCAAAAAAACTTGCCTCCGGGGGAGTTTAACGACGTGAGTGTCAATACGGCCGTTCAACGCGAAAACGCTCACCGCGGTCGTCGGCGCCAGACACGTTTCATGTCGTTTTCGCCAAAGCCCGTAGTGAAAGCATCAGCCGACGTCAAGCAGATCTGATATCCGCGTTGAAGGGGTCAATTTATCCCCGGGGACAAGTTTGTGGTCAAACTGGGATTTGGCACGAAGGTGAGTTTTGTGGCAGGATATGGCAGTGAGTGGTGGATGAGGCTCAATTTTTTTTTTGCTGGATCTGCCGTGTCATCTGCTTACCCTACCTCCTCTACTGGGTCGCTTGTTCGGAGGAACGTCAAAAAACGGAGTAAGCGCCTGCGTAACAGACAAGGCAAAAAGTTCCGGTCAACTGAGAACAAACTCGCCTATGCCTGCCAGTCAGCGGCACGTTTCCCTTGAGCACAACTGCGACCGAGGGCCAGTTTGCACACATGTCAGCACAGCATTTACTGCAAACTTTGACCACCCGGAACTCGTTTGGGAAAATCGTGTAGCACTTTTGGTTTGCATATACTTAATCAGCATTCAAGGCTGTCGATGTGCCTAGGTCTTCATACAAGAACCACCTCCGCTCCTTCCTACTTCGCCTTGCCAAAAACTTAAAATCGATCCTCGAGTAAAGTTCCGTAAGCTAGCAAGACGTCCCTTACGATGTTGGTAAGGGGTGGCCGCATCAGTTCGAGGATTCATCCCGCCCCCTCACTCTGTTTAAAGGACCAACTCCCGCTTTTCCCTGGGTCAGGGTATTGGCACAAGACTCGAGTGGAGTATTTTAAGTATAGGTTGGAAGGAAAGTCTTGTCACTGTTGTGACTTTTTCTCTTTTTATTTTCTAACTCAATATACAGTGGGAATTAGTCAACAATATACTCGTCATAGTTAGCCACTACAGCGCTCCACCCAATGGACAGGTAAGCATTCCCCTCCTCCCAGAACTGAGAAGGCTGCGAGTAGAGTAAGTCAGCGCCCTCTCGACTGATGTCATCAAAATTGCTGAAAGTTTTCTTAGCTAAGAAAGCCTTAAGGAGGCGGAGCAGGTAGCAGTCGTAGGGGACTACGTCAGGAGAATATGATGAGCGGGTCTGGTCTCTCAGCCTTGCTCCTAGGTCTCCATAGCAGTATGGGGTCTCCGTCCTCGGGAACGAGGTGCCCCGAAGCTAGTCTCGGTCATTTTTCTCCAACAATTTTCACTCGTTTCGGGAGCTGAGCGACACAAATGGTGGCGGTGACCGTCTGTTCTTATGGGGCAGCTCGTTCTGCAGCACCTCCTCGCGTCCCAGGAGCAGCACAGGATAATTTTGGACTGCTAGAATGGATCTTCTCTTTGAGAGAGACAAACGGTACTGTGTGGGTTGAAATCATAGAGGAGAGGACCCATCTCTCATCCCCACTAAGCAGTCTCCCGGAAACTCCTTCTGACGAGGGCAGAGAAGGGGAGACTGACCAAGGGGTACCCGGGTGCACAGCGTGCCATCGGTCAAGGTATGAATGATCCATCAAGCCAGTACTTCTTGGTAGTCAAAGGCTTACAGGCGGTGGACGACTGTCAGTTAGGTACATCCGAGTCTTGTCGCAAGACTGCGGGTGGTAGCCTCTGGATCCCCCTTGTCTGCTTCGAGAATGGTGGAGTCTTATACTTCTTGGGGCCGTCCCAACCAAGGTTTGTCTTCGAGGATCGAGTCTCTTTTCGCGAAGCGAGCGAACTAAAAGTGAACGATCCTGACGGTAGTGGTGTCCTCCCTCAATGCACTGTTGATGTTACGGACAGCTGCCGTGGCTCCAGTGCCGCGGGGCCACTGATAGAAGATGATGACCCGAAGATACTCCTGTGAAACTGACATCGTAATTAAACCCAGGGAAGAGCAGGCGCCCTCACACGCCTCTTGCAGGAAAGCTCCCAGAGTGTCCTACAAGCATAGCATGTTACGTCATGTACGAGCATCGAGAATCAAAAACTGTAAGCTTTTCAAAAAACACTGACAGGACTTTCCTTCCAACCTATATTATTTGGATCCCACACTTTCAAGAAAATTCACTGAATTATTCTCTACCTGTAATCACTGTTTCTAAAAAAGTGACAAAAACAACCACAGAGTCATGGCAACCCATAGTGTTCAGCGAACCTGGCGACTCATCCTTACAGAGAAATCATATTCAAAATCCCACTGCAAATCTGGACTTAGGTACAGCGCATGGCTTACCCAAAAAAGGATCGATCGGACCAAAGCTTACATTTTATACCATTGGCTGTTGCTCAATCAATTGAGGCCCCAGTCCCTTCAGTATTCCATCGCAGGATGTCTAGTTGTAAGCACCCTTAACAGAACAACTGCACTGTTGTGGCATTCGAGCACGACTTATAGACACAGTCCACGATATTTGAATGGGCGGAGATTGAAGACCATTCTGTGTCTTACTCGTTGATGTGTCCTCCTTCCAAAGCGATAAAGAAATGACTGCGTCAAGGAAGTGACTCTGTTTTCGCCCATGTGATGAGCACGGACTTTACATTCAAACTCTACCATTTTTCGGTAAACTCCGCCCATACTGTTACTTTTAATGACGGAAAACATGTGAATGAAATAAGTTTATTGAAGAATTAGAGCAATCAAGATATCAGTGACGCTTCCTCTTTCGATAACCTCCTTCCGACTCCTCGTTGTATGCTGGAGCTGGTGTTGCGCCTTGGTACGCTGGAGTTCTGGGGGGACAAGGACAATACGCAGCATCTTTTCCAGGTGCACCAGGAGGACCAGGAGGGCCGGGAGGACCATCCGGTCCAGGAGCTCCATCTTGTCCTGGTTGTCCTTGAGCTCCTTGTTGGCCATCAGCTCCGGGACTTCCAACATCACTATCCTGTCCATGCTGGCCGGCAGGACCTTGAGGTCCCATTGGACCTTTTGATCCAGGTTTCCCTTGTCCGCGTTGGCCATTCTTTCCAGGTGGCCCTTGTTGGCCAGGTGCTCCTGGCTGTCCTGCTTGCCCCTGATCCCCTGGGGGTCCTGGTTGACCTGGTGCTCCATTATTGGCGCCTTGGCCATCAGTGCCGGGCTTTCCATCAGGTCCAGGTGGGCCTGCAGGTCCATCGGGACCAGGTGGTCCTTGAGCACCAGGAGGGCACGTGGTGCATTCCTGTGCGTATGGGTTATCCTGCGTTGCGGGTCTAGAACCAGGTTCGCCAGGATTACCATCTTTTCCATTTTCTCCATCAGTTCCGGGATCTCCAGGCAGACCAGGTGGTCCTGGGGGACCAACAGGGCAGGAATCCGGCTGTGGTCCTGGTGTTGAGGATGGTGGCGTCGCTGTTGTAGGTTCATTGTACACTCCACTGTCATCATAGGCCTGACGGGCGAATCTTGCTCCTCCGTCGATTTGGATCATCCTTGCCCAGGCATCGTCAGCAACGCTCTGAAATGCAAGGATTTGAGGTCACAGCAGGTTATGTGGGGGCAGAACGAGACAAATCTCACCCTGAACTGCTCGATCCTTTCCCTAGAATGATTATAGAAGTTGTTCAGGTCGTTAACAACGTAGCCAACAGAGATCACGGCGATAAGAATTAGCACAGCTGAGGTAGCTGCTGTAGTTCCGACGAGGCTGCTAGTGAATGGAGTCATGACGATGTTGTGCCATCTAAAGCCCGTCAGGGTTTATATACAAGCATGTGTGTAATGAATGACGGGTCAGAAGAGGCACGATTTTTTAAGGTTGTCGATGAACTCGTGAAATTTACGCAGTTTTCCGGTTTTTCATGTACCTTGAAAAGGAAATCGAATTCACTGAAAAAACTGAGGCGCGTGTTTGATGGATTGTCACACAGGGCAGATTGCTGCGCTACACACACGTATGTACATCATAGTGTAGCAGCCAAAGCTCGAAAAAAAGGCTTGTATCGCCCGAATGGGCCGTGGCAGCCCAAAAACCATTTGATAGCAGACGCAAATGTTCACGTTAACGACTAAGGTTGATGCCTGTTGTGAAATTGACAGAACCGGCACAGATTCAGGAACGTGACTGAAAAACGCGGAAGGGAATGTAAAAGTGGGGAGAATCAAGCCAATCCTCAGGAGAGTATGAGAGTGGGGGTCAGACATCGTTTTGATAGTCACAACGGGGGGTCGTATTTGACCGCGAGGAAGAGGTATGTGCCTTTGTGAGGAACTTGGGAAAAAACTTTTCCCGGTTGTTTACTTTTTCCGGTTTTCCACATTCCACTGATATTATATCCCTCCCCCCCCCTGCTACTTGGCGGCACTGCCAAAGTTCTATACCACTAGTATTTCCGATAGTTGAAAATTGTAGTTAGTTCCTGACGACCTCCCCCCCCCCCCCCTCTCGACAGCAAAAAAAATTTGAAAATTTTGGTGGAAAAACCAGAAAATTTCGAAAATTTGAGGGAAATGCGAGAGAAACTGGAAAAAGTGGCAGGGAGTTGTCTAGGAAAGTGGCTAGAGGGGGTCGTATTTCGCAAGAATTTATCACAATGCGATGGCGTGCCCTGGTGGGGGTTGAAGTTCCTGGAGCTTTTCAGGGTTACTATGCACGGATTTTTTCGCAGAATTTTTGTCGCCATGAACCCAACTTCGGCCCTACATACCCTACCCTGCCCACATTTTGAAAGTCAGGCCAGAGCTCTATCGAAACTTGCTTTCGGGACTAATTCTGGCACTGTTCAACTATTACAACGGCGAATTCCTTTCAAGGCTACATAGACCTCCCCTCTCTCCAACAACGACCAAATACGACCCTCCCCTCCCCAGCGGAAAAGTACGACCCCTTATGTGTTTCACACAACGATGCTGAGGCGGGAAAGCGACGCGTAGTACAATAACGTTCTTTCGCATGCGGCCGCTATGAGCCACCGGTGACTCATATTGTCCCTCGTGGACCCCTTTTTTCCGCTCTGTCGAGTTTCGCAAATGATTAAGCAATTTTGCAAGGAGTTCTGTACCTACCATCCTCGACCACACTGGACACTATCCAGAGCCCCCTCTCCTTCGATCACGCTCACTTGTGATTTTGCGAGTTTCATACTATAACTTCTGCTTCTGTGGCTTTTTTTTGCTTTTTTGCTCTTTCACATTCATACAGTCATTCGTGGACGGCCAACACACTTTTTCTCGAAATGAGCGCTTCCCTGTCTACACAATTCATTGGTGTCTTCTAGGCAGATTCTTTCTTTCCAACAGAGGACCGGTACTCGGCAATCGCCTCCGAATGTGTGGAAGTCCAAAATGGGAAGAACTGGATGCGATTACGTGAGGATGCAAAGCACCTTGTTCCGACGGTTACAGCCTCGAAGTGTGGCATTTTATGTGGTCACTCAAATCCCCGTTCGCAATTTCCAGTTCCATTTATTACACTAGTCCAGGAAAAGCTCGACAGAGGCGTCTCCAAGGTACCGTTGTGCCATTGTAGACACTTAAACGGGTTGGTTGTCAGTGACGTGGTCACTAGGTGACCTTGGGGGCGCAGTCTGGCTTGGTAGGGGAACCAAAAGGGAACCTACAATAGTTTCTACGACATTCAGTCAAATAAATACCATTATTTACCCTCTACATCTGGAAACAAATTTCTCTCTACAGAATTAAGCTTTCCAGAGCCATCTTCAGGCAAGTCAGGTTTAAAATGACTTGGGAGAAACGACTTCTCACCATCTGGAATTGGACATGAAAAATATGAAAAGTTACTCTGACTACTGTCTGACTACGTGATGGTCTATTTCAGCAATTTTCCCCAGTCATTTTTCTTTCGAAAGGCGCTGAAACGCGTCATTTTGCCGGTACCGGTAGGTTGGTGAGAACTCTTCTACTATGTTTTCCTGATGGCCGAGTTCTTGGGGCTTTTGAAGCAGCATCACACTAGAGGGATCTACCAATTGAGCACAAGCTCATGGTCCAACCAGACTAAATCAACGAGGAACTTTTTTACAGTTATTCAGGCTCCAATTCAAGCTCCCCATAGCCTTCTTGGAATATCTTGTATTATGAGCATCTCGAAAAGGAGGCGTGTTTAAGTGAGCGCCCTGTGACCATCTATAAGTACATACTCTTTGGGGGGGGGGGCGCTTCCGCATGCCTCAGCTCCGGAATCGCCCCACACATAATTGACAATGCATGCGGAGGAGAAGTTACTTTGATATATCGCAACTCGAGCTCTTCGAAGAATCGCCATCTTTGGGGCCGTATGCTGAACATCTCCTTGAAAGGGACATCTCCCAAGCACTTGTGTCGGTATTAACGATTAACTTGGCAGCCCTCACTGAGCCTCCTTGGGATGCAGATATTGAGAAAGGGAAGATGGCGG